TCGAGGTCAATCTCGGAGCGTGATACGATGATTCGAATCAATTCATGATCACGAGTGCCCATACCCTGAAGCAGTCTCAGTACACACATCCAATCGTTGAAAAAAATCAGATTCGAGTAAAAATTTTTAATTCCAAGGCATCATAATTAACATTAACTTACAGCCATTGCTTTATGTAATCCGTATGCGAAATACTTCGGTTTACTCTGAATGCAACGTACGAGTGCTAAAAGTCCTTTCTTCGTTTCACCGCTGAATTCTTTCTGAAATTTTCTCTGCTGTGAAATACGCAAACATTTTCGTCATCCTCACTCAACATTATTAAAATGAATGATCGTTCTTGAAAAAGGCTGAAAATGAAGCTATTCGAGGTTTACAATAAAGGATGACCTGAATGAGCAACAACTGATCAGTCTCAATATGATTATTTTGTTCTTATGATCAAACAACAGACCAAGAAGTTGCGTAATAACATTGGCAAATGCTCGTAGTCTTATTTTTCAATTATTAATAGAAGAATTGAATGAATCTATTCTGCCAAACTTGTAGACCCGTATGAGGATTTTGTTATTGGAATCACGTTTTCACCAGAAACCTGGAGTGAATGATCATAAATGACGATAACCTCAATAGCGTCTTCAATGGTATTTCCAGTCAGTTCTTGATAATAGCGAAAAACGCGATCGAGTTGTCTTAGATTTTGTGAAACCAAAATTGCATTGAACGTCGATTCATGAGTGCACCACACTGATGCGCCAGCATCAACTAAGCGTTGTGCATCCTAAATTCATTCGGAATGATAAGTTGATGCAGATCAAACGTGAATAAACTTGAAGTAATCGTGATTATGAGACAGGCTCTGTGTTGATGATGTTATATATCAGTGTACGATTGTAATTGCTAGCATTGTCGCAGATGGCTTCCAACTGCCTACCTCAGCAAAGTTCCAAAACTTAACAATAAACGATTTTTGAGAGCGAGTGGATGTTTGTCGAAATACGGAATATTTTAAAAATTATCAACCACAAAACCTCTCTGGCTTTAGAATCGTCCACATAATACGACTGATCATCACGATTTCCTTGAAGCAATGACACAAGTAAAC